GTCCTTAGGGGTACTTTGGATGGAACGGACTAACCTCGGGTGGCAGCTGATGAGAATTTCAGTTACTACATCACCCGGGTGCACGAACGTCGTAGCTACACAGAATTCATACAGTCCGGACAGTCGTTCTAGTATCAGGGTTTGATTTGAATTGTTTATTGGAATGTGTTTGAATGTGCTTGCATATGAAAATGTATGTTATTACTTGAATTAAATTACATAAGCTTACCCTGTGTCTTCTTTGTGTTGTCTTGTCCTTGTACGTCCGTCTTGTCTTTGCAATGATCATCCGTGTGGATGTGAGCAGATGGAGACGCGCTACTGGAAGAGGCGCTGGAAGAAGGAAATTTGGAGGAAGAGAACCTCGTCGACGTGGAAGTTAAGGCCGAACCTTATTACGTTCGGTTAGTAGTATAGTTTAGTTAGTATAAGGTGTCGTTCGGTCACCTTTTTCTTTTTTTAGTAATGACCGTTCGGTAAGCTTTCTTTTTGTAAACCGATCCGTCTAGTCTTGTTATATTGTAAAGTTAAGTTTATAACTTTATGTAAGGCCGATCGGTCGTGATCGTTCGTTGCTTAGTGTAAGACTGAACCGATACGTTAATTAATGTGATTATTCTATTGTATGGTTTACTGTATTTATGGGATGTTACAAATATCTACAATAAATGATAATTATTGTTGAATGATATGTAATTACAATACGATACACTTACTAAAAATATATACTTTTATATCAATTTTTATAATTTTCATATAAATTTTAGTAATTTTTTATTTTAATAATTGTTATAACATTTAAATACACATAAATATCCTAATTTTTTTTATACTTAAACAAAATATATGCATGAATAAGAAAAAATTTACACATAACAAAATTATTTATATTAAAACATTTCATATTAAAATAGTCAAATTTTATCATTTTTAAATCACTAATACTTCTTAAATATCATTTTCTAAGTTTTTATAATTGACCAAGATACATCATTATTATTCAATAATTATTAATACATTATTATTCAATAATTATTAATTATTTATTAATGAAAAAAACTTAATTTGCAGAAAAAACATTAATAATTTGATAATAAAAAATCAAATACACTTATTATATAATTAATACAAATCGTTATTTTAAAATAGGTTTAAACCCTTTAGTTGTCCCTATTTATGTGAGGTTTTGTCATTTTGATCCCCTCCTTATTAGAATTCCTAATTAAGTCCTTATAAGTGATAATTTGCATCAATTAAGTCCCTGCAGTTAAATTTCGTTAACGTCATTAAGTTTTTGCACATGTGAGAGAATTTGGTGTTTTTTTTCTTGGAACTTGGCATATTTAGAGTTTAAACGTGTCATTATGCGTCCAATTATGCAAAACGTAATGATATAAAGTTAGGAAAATCTGAAATGGGATTTAGGGTCAAACAAATTGAATTTAGGATTACAAACCTGAGAGGAGAATGCATCGGAAACTTGAGCGAAGTCTTTAGTGGAGAGATACACACTTCATTAAGGCTTTGGAGGTTTGTGATTGGAGTTTTGATGTCAATGCTTGAGAGTGCTGTGAACTAGGGTCATCAGTTTTTCCCAGGGGCTTCTTCCTCTGCCAATTTCGTGCCTCAGCATCAGTCCCAGCATCAGCTTTAGCCACAGCCTCCTCAGGTGTTCACTGCTCAGACCATCCCTACCATGCTTCAGAGCTATATGTTCCCTGATGTAACCATCATGCAGCAGCAGCATCACGGGTTTGATAACATGGGGATGGGAGGAAATGGACTTGGACCTGCTCCTACTGGGGGGTTTTCTGATCCATTCAATGGATCCATGGTCATGATGATGCCCTTTCGTTTTCTAGATTTCCTCTTGTTTTTCAAGCTTAGAATTCTTCTTTCATGTTGTTTTTCTTTCAGTAGGTAGTTCCATTTATGTATGTGACATAGTTAGCACTAGAATAGGGTTCGGATATCGAAGACATGTCTTGAACCATTATCTTGAACGTCATGTATTGTTGGATCGCAGTCCCTGCATAATATTTGTTTCAGAGTTGGGTCTGTAGTGTNGAATTTGTATCATATAAGTTAATGGAAATTTTATTTTACAAACCGATTTTTTTTTAAGATTGAATTAATTTTAAAGTTTATTTTAAAATATTTTATAAATAGAAGGTAAAATATGCAGTGATCGTTGCTGAGTAGCCAAGGAACACAACCTATAATAAATGTATAGCAGATGAGTTGTTATTAACCATATAGCAATGGAGGCAGAACTATGAAGGATAGGATCGTTTCAGTATTTCTTATTTGTCTCTTTTTAGAGTGTTAGTTACATTAAAACACTCGTAGTTTCGCTTTGTGAAATTCCTATTTAAACACATAGGAATGGATTTGGTATGGATGGAAACTGATATGGAAAGTATGGAGGATTAATCTCTTTGTATTGCCAATGTCTTGAATGACATGTAAAGCATTTCAATATTTTAGGGTTAAATTGTTATTCTTTCTTGCTACAAAAATAATTCATATTTTTTTTTCTTAAAATTTAATCCAAACTTGATCCAGAATTCTATTAAGATTCCAAAATGGAAAATAAACTATATATATGTAGTTACAGTTAAAAATATTTTTATGCTTGTTATTTAATTAGACATTTTTGTCAATGCTAATTTTTAAAGTCATAATAACATTATTTTCAATATATTTAATAATATAAACAAAACTATTTAATTACTATATATGAAAGATAAAACTTTCTACACTAGGACATGGACACTTAAAATGTTCTAACTACCTACGTTCTTCATGTCATGATACTTTTTATTTTGAAACTAGAAATAATCATACATAAATTTCAAGAATTGTAATAAATTGGAGACTCTTTTAGATAAAGAGAGACTGTAATTTCACATGCAAAAATGAGGACTCTATACTTAACATGATCACGAGAAGTACATGCACACACAACTGATGTTATTCAGATTCTATATGCAACCAGAAAACATTAGATGCAAATTGAATAAATATTTTTCGACAACTAGAGAACAATAGATACAAATGCCACAAATATTTTTAAGTTTCATATGGAGAGTTTTACTTTATGTGTAACCCAAAAACTTCAAACTCAGTCAGCATAAAATATGAAATATAATGTTGTTAACATCTTCACAAACGAATTAACTCAGATCTATTTCAAATTCATTATGTAGATTATCTTACCAAAATTTTTAAACTTTCATCTTACTCAATAGAAACTCTCAATACTTCAAAGCTCAAATAGAAAACCTAACTTGCTAATAATGATCCTTATCCACCTAATATGAAATGCAATCATTTTTTTTTATTTTTTAAAAAGAGATGGGTATTGAATGGACAGGAATAGAGGGAGGGTAAAAATATAAAAAAAAAAAATTACATACCAGTGAGGTAATGAAAAAGAAAGAAATGAGATCTTACCGTTGACATTCTAATCTTTATATAAATAAAATTGTGCAAAATAACGTATGGAGTATTATCTTTATATTCTTAATATTCATAAGTTAATCTTTATTTATTTAACTTTTTTATTGAAGAAATTTATCTTAGCTAGAATAGAACTGATACGTACAAGATGTATGCAACTTTCTGATAAGAAGAAATTAGCTGTGTCCAAGTAGAAATTAAGAGTAACAGGGTGAAAAACATTAATTCATTAAATATTTCTTTGAGATTATACTTCGGTATTTAGGAATACATTAAAGTTTATTGAAATAAAGTATGTTTGAAAGATGATGATAGTTCATAATATTAATGACTATTTGTCTGATATATGACATGAAGTGGCAATAAACAATAATGGGACATATTTATTTGTAATTTATATTTAATAATTAATTAATTACCACAAAATAATTAATAACTTGCACTGTTGATTAATGATTAATTTAACACATTTATATGAGTATTAAATTTTCCTTCTTAAAAAGATAGCTATAATAAATAAACATTTTTTTTTATAATTTTTGGTGCATCCTTATTTAATTTTATTTAACATTTAGAAATGTTATAAGCAAATGACTACTCAAAAAAACTCACCTATTTTACTGTTTTTTATTATAAAATTTGAAATACAATAATACGAAGCAGACATACTTCTTTTAACAAAAACATTCAAATACGATTTTAAGAAAGTTTTATTTGCTCTGGAATAACTAATATTTTTTCCTTTTATATCCACACAAATATCTTTAATTTTTTTTTCTCTTTTGAACAATTCAACAGTGATTAATCGTATCAATATTGATTTACTATATTATGAATGTCGGTTTAACTAGATTCTTCTTTTCACCATTTTTTCCAAAAACAAAAATCCAAGGATTTTGTTTAGATAATCTTACCAATAATCTAAGTGAAAAATATTTTATAAGTAAAAAAAATTCCAGTATTAGAAGAAATGTTATGATTTATCTTTTTATTTTTTTTTGTGTAAATCTGATTAATTATTTCTCAAACATCATATATTAAACAAAGGTTGTAAAGCTTGAAATATAAGTTGGGTTAATCAATTGGATAGTAAATACTTATCTTAGTTTTTCACGTAGTTAATTATCATTAGAACAATGGTCTTAATTGTATCAATCATTTAGGTGTTCAAGTTTGTTTTTACAAACCCTATGAATAAAAAGAAACAACATTAAGATTATTAATGACAGCTGCGAAGTGTTCAGGTACACCTTATCTGATAAATGGCCGAGCAAGATTAAGAAAAGGTATGCAATTTTGTCAGAGCTGCTGATTTTCTTACAATAAATATTCTACCATATATGCATCCAAAGAGGATTTTCACAATCTCCCAATCCAGAAACCACTTGAATGAAAATAAAATTGGTGGTTTTTGTTGGAGCCAAGACAGATGCGTGTTGTTTTGGGTGTCTCCATTTACAGACTCAAAACACCTATAAATTCAACCCTGCACTCTTGTTTCTCCACAACATTCTCTTCTTGACTGCGGCATACCCTAAGCTATAGCACCCATGGCCATGGATTCAGGAGCAAAGAAAAGCCGTGGTCGCCAAAAGATCGAGATGAAGAAAATGAGCAATGAGAGCAACCTCCAAGTCACCTTCTCCAAGCGCCGAAGCGGCCTTTTCAAGAAGGCCAGTGAGCTCTGCACCCTCTGCGGAGCCCATGTGGCGCTGGTGGTGTTCTCGCCGGGAGAGAAGGTGTTCTCCTTCGGCCACCCCAACGTGGATGCTGTGATCGACCGCTTTCTGGGGCGGGCACCGGTGCAGGACTCCGGCACCATGCAGTTCATCGATGCCCACCGCATCTCCAACGTGCGTGACCTGAACAAGCAGCTGACTCAGGTGAACGAACTTCTGGAAACGGAGAGGAAGCGCGGAGAGGAGCTGAACCGGCTGAGGAAGGAGGCGCAGGAGCTGATGTGGTGGACCCGCCCCACTGAGGAGCTGACTGTGGAGCAGATGGAGCAGTACAAGACAGCATTGGAGGAGCTGAAGAAGCACGTTGCCCAACTTGCTGAGAGGGCAATGCTTCAGAGTGCTGTGAACCAGGGTCATCAGTTTTTCCCAGGGGCTTCTTCCTCTGCCAATTTCGTGCCTCAGCATCAGCCCCAGCATCAGCTTCAACCACAGCCTCCTCAGGTGTTCACTGCTCAGACCATCCCTACCATGCTTCAGAGCTATATGTTCCCTGATGTAACCATCATGCAGCAGCAGCATCACGGGTTCGATAACATGGGGATGGGAGGATATGGACCTGGACCTGCTCCTGCTGGGGGGTTTTTCTGATCCACTCAATGGATCCATGGTCATGATGATGCCCTTTCGTTTTCTAGATTTCCTCTTGTTTTTCAAGCTTGGAATTCTTCTTTCATGTTGTTTTTCTTTCAGTAGGTAGTTCCATTATGTATGTGACATAGTTAGCACTGGAATAGGGTTCGGATATCCAAGACATGTCTTGAACCATTATCTTGAACGTCATGTATTGTTGGATCGCAGTCCCTGCATAGTATTTGTTTCAGAGTTGGGTCTGTAGTGTTGTGTTCATTTCAGTTAATTCAATAAGGGGCATCTTATTTGCTTACTTTTTACCTGTTTGTTTTGTTTTTACTTAAGTCAAATTAATTTATATATATATTATAATTTGTTTTAAATTAATCAGTATGATTATTTAAATAGATTGTGGTTACAGATTTTCGATTGGAATGCTGATAAGCACGTACACAGGAGTGAAAAGAGAGACACAGAACAACAAGAGGAAGCGAAATTAGTGAGACATTCATTCTGTAATGGATAAAAATGAATAAAATTATTAAAGAAAAATTGTGAAGAAAATAGATTAAAGACAATCAAATTTAAGATAATTTGATATAAAATAAGCTGCTTCTAAAATATTTATCTTTGAATCTAATTTAAGATAATTTATCCGAAAAAATTATTACACGTTTCCACTGTCACCGACATCGTCTCCAACATCGTATTTGTATTTTTGTAGGTGGAAGAAGACTCTGAAAACTTTGATGCATGAAGATGCAGGTGGAAGAAGACTCTGAAAACTTAAAAAAAAAAGAAAAATTATCAAGTGTAAAGAGAAGAATGCGAAGAGGGTTATGTAAGTCTAAACAAAAGGTCTAGTCTTTGTTGCTGATTGAAAGTTTCAGCATTTGGGTTTCCCTCATATTAAATAAAAGTAGGTTTCTTTACTGTAAATTCCTCTGGGATTTTCTTATTTTTGTTTCTAAAATGTATAGTGGTTTCTAAAATAATCAGATTATGCATAAACTTATTAACTGTGGATTTTTGAGCGTTTCATGAACTCCTTTTTTTTCTTTTAAAAAGGTTCCAAAGATTACACCAGCATCAAGTCCAAAACCCGAATCCCCCAAAATCCCTGCACCAAAACCACCCAAAAAAGCCCCTATTTCGCCACCGTTGCAGGAGGTGAGGATCTTGGCGGTGGGGGAGATGGGTTTCGTGATGAGGTCGTGGTGGAGTCTGATGATGTAGAATGTCTTGAAGAAGAACAGTTCTGTGGGCTTTGATTTGAATGTTAAATGGGGTTGCTGGGTTTGTTTAGGATAGAGAGAATTTATGAGCGGATCAATTTGATATGAATGTTAAATGGTTTCTGCTGTTGGGAAAGATACCAAACCTAGAGTGTGTTGTTGTGTTACTCCATCTAGAGATACCAAACCTAGAGCGTCAGGATCCTTTAAATAGAGTCAGAAAAGAGTAGAAACAGGGCCTAGTCCAAAAGAGTCAAACCAGAGCAAAAATTGGGCCTAATCCATGATGTACGACGCTCGGGGGCCCCATTTAGGGCGCCCGGGCGGTGGACGTCGATTTTTGGTGCTCAAGCCCCCAAACAAGGCGCCCAAGCCTCACAGACAACATTCTGGTTGACTTTTCTGCACTCTGGTTGACTTTTCTGCATTCCAACAATTTGGTACTTTAACTCTTCCTTCAAATCATTCTAATAGCCTACAAAATCAAGAGAATTTAGTGATAAAATCATCAAGTATAACCTCAACTCTCTTATTCCCAAAACTAAAGCAAAAACATGATTCCAAGCAAGTTTCTAAGCAGAAAAGGATGCATTTGGTATCAAAATTACATCACAAATAACCTTATTTTCAACCGTTATCAAGGCCACGCAAGACATGATCAGTCATGTCTTCAACGGAGACAATAGAGCCAAGTGAGGCAAGGATATCTGTAGTTTGCTTTAGAGAATGCATGTAGGTGGTGATGGATTGGGTACCTTTGGACGCCGTGCGGAGACGCTCCTTTAACTTCTTGAGGTGGCTGTGGGATGCCTTGGCATAAGTGCGCTGAAGAAGAGTCCAGACATCATGTGATGTTTTTGTTTGAGAAACCATGGATGCCACTTCAGGGGAGAGAGTGGTGACGAGAGCAACGTATATAAGACGGTCCTTTCGATGCCAGGTTTGATAAGCAGGATTCGAAGTTGGAGGTTCAACGATGGTGGAGACCATCGTCGTCGTTGCAGTAAAGGATCTATCTAGATATTTGAGAAGATCATAGCCATCAAGAAGAGCTTCAACTTGAAGTTTCCAAGTGAGGTAATTAGAGGGTAGAAGCTTGGTGACATTACTGAGGGTGATGCAAGTGAAGGGTTTTGATGGCTCATGAGGGTTGCTAATAGATGAAGAGTTGT